ATATACGTAAATGTTACTTCTTACCGAAAGAAATTTTAATGAGTATTATTAAAATACGGTACATATTCGAAAGTTTCACAGAATATTATAACAACAAGAAAGGCAAAACAGGCTTGGCGCTTAATGCGTTAACGATTTATGAATAAAAATTGTATCATATTGTAAATAATTATTCAGGATTAATTAATGACACATACGTACACGATTTTGATCTTTCTCCACTTTTCACTTAAATTGTTACCTGTGCTTCATCAAGATGTTTCAAATGTTCATTTGAATAATCAGATTGGTTAAACTTTTATTTAATATCCTTGCTTGCATTAGAATCACGAAAAATCCCAAATTGTCATCTTGAAGATGAAACACCTAATCGTGCCGATCCAAAGGGTGAGATCAAACCTTCGTCAAATTAGACTTTCTGTTGTCATCGGATATTTCCATATTTATAATTACGTCAAACATCAAAGCGTATTGTCATATTTTATAGCCTTCCCGAACGGTTTAATTGGCGAATATCACGATACTATACAATTTCCTTTTGTCCTACTGTACCCCCTTTCACATGGATATGTAATCGATCCTTGTTTTGTATGTAATCGAGCCAATATTTCGCAATTCTATGCAGAGGATTGTAACACGCGATGTGTTAATATAATAAATCGCATATGAAATTTCAACGATTAAAAAAAAGGTACTATGTGTCGAGTGGAATTTTCACCATCGTTGCCGAGTGAACAATGTGTGAAAGGAAAGTACGAAACAATTCCCTTGCCAGATAGAGAATATTGTTGTACAATTCGGTTCGAGCCGATCGTTGTTCGCGCTAATCCAGAATCCAGGTCGATTGCACTGGTCAGTCGTTTCCAGTAGAATGGCAGAGGCTTTGATCAGGCACGAATAAATCCGATTCCTGTTGCTCGTCACGCGTCAATCGACCATCGGCCAATGAAACTTAATAGCGCAGACTTTCGAAACAGTCGTATAATATTCACTGCACCCCGACCGACGCTACCCGTCGACTTTAACCCTTCGCATTTGAAGTAAAAACGAATATCGATAAATCAACTGGCTCAAATGTTTTAATGCTATTACGGTGGCACTTTTTTTTATTTCGATCTGTCGTGTAGTAAGTAATTGATATCTGTTGCCCTGGTGACGCTCCATCTGTTGTGATCTCGTAAACGTAAATCATAGAACCATTGAACTGGACACATTTTAAAACTGAAACTTTACTTTTCAATCTCTGCTTTCACAGCGAATCGTGTGTACGATTCTATTCAGAGATTTTTGTTTCATGATATAACGGATACAATTTTAACGACACGTTTCTTAAAAATGGAAAAGAATTGAAATCGTTTGTAGAAATATCGTAGAATCTTTTTCGGGACCGAATTTTATCATTTCGGAGATTATAATAGCCTCCTTTTTATGTGGACCTATTAAATGCTGTCTTTTTTTTTAGAAACTGAAATAGTACTCCGCGTTTAAAAATGATTTTCGACCGTGATATGTTTGCGCGAAGCTGACTTAATTAGGATTTCCAGGACCTAAGAGGATTAAAGAGTCTCGCTCGCCGAATTACTTTGATTTCATGGGATTTCCCGGGATGATGGTCCAACAGAAATACGCCTACTCGGATGCTTTAAAATTTCCGCGTTTCTCGTGGAAATATCTCGACAACCGTTCCATCAATTTGCTCCAATATTTGCACGTTTATTTTTTAGATATTAATATAGAATTCCTTGAATGCATATCTGCCTGGATTTTATATTCCAGAAACAAAACCGACGAATTTTCCATTAAAGATTCTCCGACGTTTGATTACGTTGCCTAAAACTGGTGAAATTTGTTATTTCCGGTAATGTAGCGCCAAATTGACAAAAGCATGATAGAGCGTTATTGAAAGAACGATTTTCCAAACATGGCACATATCTTCCATGAGGTTTATCAATTTCAAATGGAAAAAATTCCCGATACACGTCGCGTATGTACTTTGCAAGAACCAATAACGTCTGTCAGAGGGAATCTGGTATACATTTCCCTGGAAAAAAACTCGAAAAACTGGACGCGCCTTTCGATTTCAATACTTTGTAATCAACATTGCAGATCGCTCAGTGCACTCGATCATCTCGTGAAGCAAAACGATTAAAAAAAACGTAGGATTTCGTAAACGATGATTTCGCCGTGATCGTGCGGAAGTTACGTCTTGCATTGATTTAGTGCGGGAAACGGCCAAGGACGTGTCCACGCGGCCGGAGAAAGCGATAACTGCGAATTTATGTCGCGGGAAACGTGTCGCGATAAAAGCGCGACGAATTGTCCGATTTTCCTCCGAGAATTTTCCATCGGGAAGAATCATGCGACGCGGACCGACAAAGGAAAACCATCTCGCGCGTAGTTCTCGATATCCCGCGCACAAACAGTCGCTTTCCTCAAACCGACCGACAAAAGCGAAGCACATTTCGAAAAACACAACAAAGCAAACCAATAAAATTCCCCCAAAAACACTCGCTCGCTGAATTCGCGAGCGTTTGGAAATTCGGTCAATTTGTTCCGTTAACCGCATTTCTCTTAAAAATCTATTACAATCGAAATTTCTATTAAAAATCTATCACAATCGAAATTTCTATTAAAAATCTATTACAATCGAAATTTCTATTAAAAATTTATTATAACTTAAATTTCTATTAAAGATCTGTTACAATTTCAATTTCTATTAAAAATCTCTTAGAACCGAAACTTCTGATTAACGTGTCGTCGACTGCCGCGTTAGTCGACGATAGAAATAATTTTAGTTTAGTCCCTGTATCTAATTTTGTTATGCGACCTATGGAGAGCATGAAAATACAGTCGTGGTCTTATACATAATGTGTATTTTCAAAACGAAAAATATCTTTTCCAAAATTGGACCAAACGATTTGGATCTTATCGTAACAAATTTTTTGCAAACATCGTAATTGGGTAGTTACGGTAAATAAAATTTTAAATCTCATTTTTCAAATTTTATTTATCTTTTTTTTGTCATTACACCCAGTTGTTATTTCTGCAAACATTTCTTTACTAAAGTTATTCCGATTTTCTCTGGTTCATAAAATGGTGACGGCAGAGCCGCTCTTATTTTTGTAAACTGTTATCAGTCGTGAAATTAGAAAAGCGAAATATTAATCTAAATTAATAAATTTCTAAGCTACGACATCGGTGAATTTTTCCGCAGAAAATGGGAAGCCAAGGATCACGACGAATCGAAAGATCAAAAATGTCCGAGTTAGTTGACAGTGCGTGGTCCTTTACGCGAATTTTGCTAGATCCGCAGTATTGCGGGGATCGAAGGTCGGAGATTACGGGGATCAAGTGCAAATTTCGATATTTATCGTAGAAGGTCCCGTATCACGGAGATCGCTTTCAGATTGATGAAACGTTTTGCTCGGGAATTGATTGTTTAATGGGAAAATTCAAGCACGAACAGTTTTATTAATCCCTTGCCCGGCTGCGTCGAAGAGAACAATGAAATCTCCACGAAGCGTCCTCGGATACATGCGTTTAATCTAACAAATCCGAACAATTTCGTTGCACCGACAACGTCCATTTCGTTTCTACTTTCCTCCTCTCGACGAAATTTCTAGAAAATGAACGTGACCCGGAGGGCTCTCTCCTTTCTGTTTCCACGTCGATACTGGAGAATGAGCAACGTTGTCACATTCCTCATGGTAGATAAACTTTTGTGTCATTCTATACAGAATCGATTAGTTCTCGCTGCCAACGCCAACGAGATTTTGTTGCAAATCAAATGCGATGGAGATGCGCGTGAGGTCGGAGAGGTTTTTGTCACGTTTTATTGCTTTCGAATTCGTTAACAAAACACCGACCGCTGCATTTTCCATTTTATCCCTGATCCCATAAAAACTCGGTGTTTGTACAGCAAATTTATGCGGATTTCACGAATTGATCGAATAGAAATTTAATTTCAAATTGTGGACACTGGCTGGGACAATTTTATGAAAGCAAATTCTAATGGGAATTTTATATAGAAATATGCAGAAACGTGCAAAACGGTTTGACATTTTAATGTAGTAATATTGCAAATTATTAAATTTGTCAAGTGCATATTGCATTATTAAATTCTAAGGAATTTCGTATTTAAAATCAGCATTACATTATCACAGTGTGCGAAATACCAGCCGCAAAACTCGTTGGAAATGACCCAGAAAATTTCGAATAAAAATTGAACAATGCGTCGGAAAAATTGTTGGACAGCGTCGGTTGAAATCAAGGATTGCATGATGGTTGCTTGTTCGAAAATACGACCAAAACCAGAGATGAAAAAATCGCTTTCTGCATTGTTCGTGACTAGATTCGCGGATTTCCCGAAAGTAGAACGTGACGTTTGGGAAGATTTTTGTTGGGACTGTTCAAAATTCATAATACAGTTATCAATTTTTTCGGAGCCAACTTGGAAAACCAGAACTGCAAAAATTCTCTGTTCTACGTTTTGTCTGTGATCGTCCGAGCCTAAACAAATTTTACAAATTTCTGATGCCGGCTGTGCCTGCAATTCATGCATCTATGCATACATATTCGAACTGGAAGAAATAACGCACGATAATTATGTAAAAACGATACGGCCGAACTGTAGATCTTTATGAAAAATAAAAATTTACCGTAAAAAAATACAAAATAAAAAATCAATTATAACAACTAGCAAGAAAAAATTCTATTTTCTTCTTGCTAGTTGTTATAATTGATTTTTTATTTTGTATTTCTTTTTTCATAAAATAGAATTTTCTTCTTGCAATGATCTTTATGTGAATTGACTAACTTTTCATCTTTTCACTGTTTTAAAATCCACAGTTTAGACATGACAGAGTTTACACGAATAATTAAGAAGGAAAAATGTATAATGTATTATCTTTTTCAAATAAGCAAGAAATAAACTGATGCGAATAATCTGACACTAGGAAATATGAAATGATTATAATTCATAAGGAATCGTTTTATTGAAGCAGATTTCCGCAGAACAACTCATGGTGCACGCCCACTCGTTGCAAGTTGGCCCTCTGGAGCAGCTTTCTAGCACCGTTCGTCGCATGTGCACCTAGCTACTTTGTGTTTGGCGTAAGTCTTCCACCGTGTAATTATAGAATAATAGAATAATTATAGAATAATAAGCCGAGCTAAAGAAATCCTAAGAAACCTCGTCCGCAAAAGTTTCAATCCCACGAAAATCCGTGCACGTTGTGGTTAATTCCCAAGCTTCTGAACATTCGAGCATCCTCGACGATTTTCAAACCGTGTGAGCAATTTTTTATGCGATACTGTATACTGCGTGTAACTAGAACGATGCGAGCAAAAGTTTTGGGAATATAAACGTTTTTAAAATTTCAAACTTCACTTCCGTAATCAATAACTCTGACACTGCTGTGAATTCGGGCTTGAGAGTTTTGCAGAGACGAGTTTCTAAAGGCGATGGACCACAAGGTTATGCAAAAATAAAGTAAAATTTTCTTTCCTTAACAGTTCGAATGTCAACGGAGCAACCTCAATAATTCAAGCCATTTGACCAGATCTAGAAACTTTGTATCACGACATGCACACTCGAGCAAACTGATTCGATTAGGATGTATGGCGTATTGGCTGCCTTTTAATCAGATTTTGGAAGTTTGCGCGGGGACCAAACCAAAGATTAGGATTCGCCATAAATTGACTGCCTTTTGATGACATTTAGGAACTTTGTGTCGTCACGTACTCGAGCAAGCCAGATTTGATTACAATTTGTGGCGTGTTAACTGACCTTTGATCAAATTTAGACATTTCTGTCGTGACGTAGCCGAGTAGACTAAATATTGGATTGGCAGGAAAGTAATTTCGATATTTCAATGTGAAATAAAACTCAATTTTTTCTATACTAAGAAATGATAATCAGTCAAATATTGTCCATTCTCTTCGATGACCTTTTGCCGTCTTTCTGGTAACTTCATGATTCCGTGCTCATAAAACTTCTGGTCCTTATCAGTAAAAAAACTCAATCAAGTGCGATTCGAGGCTATTGTTATTATTGACATTTTTACCATTTAAAAAGCTTTGGTAAACTTCGAAATAAATGATAATCCGATGATGCAAGGTCGGAGCTATATGGAGGATGCGACATCAGTTCCCAACCAAACTCTAATAATTGCTATGCTCCAATTAAATGCTAAAGATGTGCGAGGCCTCGCATTGTCGTGGTGGAACACGATTGCTTCACTTCGATTGCTTCCTCCAATTTCATAAGTTGTTGGTTCATGACGCTTGGACCATAACCTTTTTCGATTAATATTATCCTAAACGATCCATTTTTCATCACTTTCGGTTGCTTTGAATAAACAACACATTAATGTAATAAAGATTGAACCTTCTTACACTTGCAGATCCCAATAATTTTTTGCATAGAATGCAGTAATGAAGCCGGTTATTTAATAATGGATGACCAATTGCCGTGCTCTTGGTTTGTTTCTTAAATTTTTAATATTACATTTTTGTATCCTTTGATTTTGTTTATCTTTTAATACAAAAACTTTACACGTGTCATTTGATAAATATAAAGTTAACCACCTCTTGCACTCAGCTCAATTTCATACGCATAGATCGCAATAAATCATGTAAAATAGAAATACTTAGATCAGAAAACATGGTTTAGATTTCAAATTAAAACTGCTTCGAGTGCAAAGGATTATTTTTACCCGAAAACAAACCAATGGCAGAGCAACTGATCACCTCACAATATATATATATAACCAGCTCTACTACCCTATATTACCGCGAAAATTAATTTACAAATCTGAACAAATAATAAAGAGACGCGGTACTAAAGGTGTGAAGGTTAAACGATGAGAACAAGATGTTCTTGTAAAGGGGATGAAAACGTAAGACAAATGATTTCTATGATCGTCAGATAAGGCAGCAAACCCTGAATGACAACGGTACCGTGGAGATCGCGTACATCGTTGACGCGGATTACTCCCGACACAAAGACTTCTTCTACCAGCTGAACTTCTGGGTGTTAGGTGTGGTCGTAAAGCTTCTGCCCTGCGTCATTCTCACAGTTATTAGCTGCTGGCTGATAAAAGCACTCTACAGGTAATCTAGCAATACCCCATTAATGGAGGAAACCGCGTTCCAGGCAACGAAATGTACAGGTCGTTGAATCAGGCGGCATTAAATCAACAATCTCAGTCACCTTGTTCTTTTCTGACTTTCTGAGACCTGAAGAAAAGCTGGGATCTCCCTAGCTCGTTTAACATCTCAAAAACGTATTTTTGAAGCATCGTGATCGCCGGAAATACAGAGTTGCCCACAAAAGTGTTCGTACACCTTCTGAAACGTAATAACTTTTTTCAAACTCAGTCAATTTGAACTTGAATTTTGTTAGGTGATAGAGGGACTAATCTACTAGACGATAGCTAAAATGCCTTTTTTTAAGCTTCTACACAATTTTCTTCTCGACAAAGAGTTTGCGAAAATGGTAAATTGACTAAACACGACATTAAATGACGCGGCAACGTTTACGCTTTCAAACGGCAAATTGCATAATAAGCGTAAATACAGTTATACAAGGTGTCGCAAAATTATGTTACTTCCGGGAAATAAGGAGTTCCTGAGGTCATTTGAAGTAACTTTTTCCTTCGCGAAAATGCAATCCGCGGCTTTGTTTACGAGTTATTAACGAAAAATATTGACCAATGAGAGACGAGCTCCGCTGGCGTAAAACGGCCGAGTCAATGAGCGGAACTGGTCTTCCACTGCCCGTTGACTCGGCTGCCTTGCACCAGCCGATCTCGCCTCTCATTGGTCAGTGTTTTTCGTGAATAACTCGTAAGCAAAGCCGCGGATTACATTTTTGCTGAGGAAAAAATTACCTCAAATATAATAATATAATAATATATATAATATATATAAATATAATATATAAATAAAATATTATATATATATATAATATAATATATATATAATATAATAATCACCTTAGGAACTCTTCAGTTCCCGGAAATAACGTAATTTTGGTACGCCCGATATATTAAAATAAAACAATTAAGTATCGCAGATCTAAAAACCGCGATTCACTTCAGGACAATCTCTTGATTCGATTTACCTTAATCTTGCGGTTCGCCTCTGTTGCAGAGCGAAGAGTAGGAAGCAGGCCCTGAAGAGCTACAACCAGTCTAAACCCGCAGTGATCTTGGGCAACGGGCTGCTTCCCCGGAAGCCCAGCAAATCAGACAAAAGAGCGGACAGGACCACGAACATGTTAGTAGCCGTACTGCTCTTGTTTCTGGTCACGGAGATACCTCAGGGAGTCCTAGGTCTTCTATCAGGTGTACTGGGCGATTGTTTCTTCCGCACCTGCTACCACAACTTCGGGGAGCTGATGGACATTCTGGCCCTGCTGAATGGCGCCATTAATTTCATTCTATATTGCTCCATGTCCAGACAGTTTCGCACCACCTTCGGCCAGCTGTTCAAGCCCAGGATCATGAAGAAGTGGCAGCCTACCACTCAGCAGACAGATGTGCAGAGCACCTACGTATGATGCAGGCTGAAGGGTCTGGAGACCACGCGACTGTAGGCCTTGAAATTGGACAATGTTAGAAGATGCTGAGATGATGCCGAACTGTCACCGAACTTGTGAACAGTGGATCTCAATGAGAACTCGAAGAGATCTAAGTGAAAGCTCTTGGAGAGATCTATGGGAGATCTCGCATCTATAAACAGTTTTTTTTACGTTGTTCGACATGCTCCGGTGGCACGATTGCCGACATGCCAATACCGAGTAGCAAATAGACCGCGTCAGGGCTGCGATGCGATCGTCTTCTAGGGGAAAGTAAACAGTGAAAATTATGGTTGCACTGTGGACCGTGGGTCTCAAGCTTGCCTGCGCCGACTGCCGATCGCGGATCGGCGAGAACAAAGAGGCTGGGTTTCCGATTAATTTTTCTACTTGCGAGAAATTCCTACTCGAACTTCGTCGGAGCTCCGAAGCGAGATCATTTTCCTTCTTTTTTTTTAGGAAACGTGGTAACGGGAAGCCTCGGCTCCGATTTCAATGAAACTTTGCTCCGAAGAACAGCCAAATATTAGAGCTGTACTTTTCAGAAACTACCCTTCGAAGTTTCTGTCAGTTTTCAAAGTGGCTCCGAAGACGTATTATAGTTTACTTAATAAAAATTGTGCGATGATAAAAATGAGCTGGGTTTAATGCATGGTGCTTCTATCTTTGTTATACGTCGATTTTTTTTTAACACGATTGTGTTTGGTGTGGACGAAGGGAAACTAAAGATGCGTTTCTTCTTGGGAGTGTTATAAATTGAAACGATTTCAGAAAGAAATTGACAATTTTTTTTAAATTTTGTAATCCATTATTGATTAGAATATCGCAGTTTCACTTTTCAAAATTTATGTACGATTTTTCTTTCGGAAAATCTGACAAAGAAACGAGCAGCAAGTCCAATAGTGTAAAATCTTCGGTAAAATAAAACTGGTGGCACATCTTTCGTTCTGAGCTCCGTGAAAGGACAAGAATGGAACCATGTAGCATGTTGTAAGGAATCCTTGTAAAGAGAAAGATTCAATCATCAAATTTACAGTAGTTCCAACTACGAAGAAGATTGTCTAACGTTTCCACAAACGTTTGAATTATATCTTCAATTTCTCACCTGCTGTAACACGCTAATAGATCATTCAAGAAAATAAATGATGCGCCATGAAAACAAAGCAATTAGACGAGCTTCTTTTCACGTCGGAAAAAAATATCAGAGAGGAATCCTGTTCGCAATAATTTTCGAGGAGCGCACGAAGCTTAATGTTGATAACACCTTTAACGGATTATACAAATTGTTCGCGTCATGGTATTTGCAGGGGCCATATGGAATCGCCGGGATATTATCGCGAGCAAAGCATTATTTAACGTTCAAGCACGACCTGCATCGAGCCAACCGTGTAAGGCACAGCCGTTGATGTACGGCTTTACACGCTACTCGCGTTTCAGTGAAAGTCGGAGAGGGACGTTCCCTGTATGGAACACAAATTTTCATGAAATTACACCTGATCGACAGGTTCGGGCATCGACGATAATCCCTTTGTTCATTTTTGCGCCAACCGGTCGATCGATAGCGTCTGCACTTGACAACGAATCGTTAAGAATTTGGCGCGTGAGCGACGACAGCGAGCGAAGATTATCTGGGCTTGTGTAAACGCGGCATTACACGCGCGTTAATTAATGTAGCGCGATCACGCGGAATAACGAGATCGGTATAAAATTACATATAGATACGTATATATGTAATAGACATACGCATACGCATATATCGTGCCAACGCAAAACGTAGCGCCTGTAAATACGATACTGAGCGACCGCCACGGTAACAACGATCCATGTGCACTCGCGTTTAGTTTTGTATGATCGATGGAAATGCTGCGATGGATTTTCGGCTGATGAGCCCGGCTGAAAGTCTATAGGCTTCCATGCATGTAAACGTTAAGGACGAATTGATTTATATAGAATATGAATAAACATTTCCGTATCAAACGCGACTCCGTTCATTTTTATCCTTGGGATCAACAGAATTGTCCTTTTACATCCGTTCCCGATTAAATGCATCCCTTGACTTTGTTTTCGCGAGGCTTTTCTTTCTTTCTGAGCGTGATTTAAATGTTACTTGACGATGTTCTTAAATAGAACTTCGATCGTTTCTTTTTTTTTATTGACCTCCATTTTCTTACGATTGCTTTGCACTTTTGTTTACAGGACAATATTAACAATGTGTTAAGCGCGTGAATATTTTCAGTGGCGTCCGATTAGTTAAGAATGTTTTTAAAAATTGTCTAATCCTAACCGCGATTTTAGCTTTTATCTGATAACACTCTCGAACGGGAACACAAATTTGATCACCTTTTTATACACCATTAGATTGTTCATTTTTGTTTAGAAATTTTTTATAGGACAATTCTAAGGTTGAGTTAACAGATTGTTGATAAAAACACATCATAAGGACGTCGATTTAACCGTTCTTAATCTTGCAACTTTTCCATCTGTTATAGACGTCCTGCGACTACGTGATCTTATGATAAGCTAATACACATATCTGAATGATATCATCCTACAAATATTAGCTCCTTGAATGTGGCCTTATCTACGCTATCATAGTTTGCTCTGGAAGATTGAAGTTGATTGGTTTCGAACTCGTATGAATTGGATATTGATTCACGAAGAGCATTTTATATTATAGTTTTTCAACGATTGGATTCGAGTTTGCTTGCACAGTGTTTCTACATTTACTGTTATCAAATACTATATCGTATATTGACCTGGCCAACCAAATCTCAATGAAAATCGGCTGTATTATCTCTGTTGATATTTCAGCAGCAAGGAACCTTTTTCCTAAATCTCCATATTTTACTGTTAAATAAAATTTCGATATTAATGACTCCAATATGTGAACAATAGACTAAGTTACTTGGATATAACAGCCTAAAAATCTAACATTCAATTATAAGAGAATAATTATCTTCTCCGTCGCAAAAGATCGATAGACCCCGCTGCCTACCTTTTCAATTAATTAATACCTCTATTTATCTCTTATTCCTCTTCAACACGTTCAGCGCCGACGATCGACCACGAAAATTCCCACAAAGTCAAAGCAATTTAATTAATTGAACCAAAACTAGAAAGTTATTATTTATCATAATGGATGACATTAGAACTCTTTCGTTTCCGAAATATCCTAGTCGAATTCAATTTGTTCGAATATATTACAATGAAAATGAATTTTCAAAATTGGTGAAAATTTAGTGTCGCCCATGTGTGACCGACGTGGCGGTCGACGTGTTAACTACTATCCTCGACCTCGCAATTTTAAGTTTCACCGGTTCAACGCATCTCTATCGGAAATTGGCTTAAAGATAACCCGAGAAAGAAAAAAAACACCCTTCAGAAACGATTTCAGGGTTCCTTCGTTTCCTTTCGGAAAAAGCGAACCGTGAACGCTTCGAACGATCATATGCAGCCCTGGACAGCCAGCAAAAAGACCATAATCGACCTTCAACAGCCTCGAGAAATGCTCGTTAATACCGTCCGAAATATTCTTCAGATAATTGCTCGAAAATAAGCGAAAGCAAGTGGTAGGTATTACTGCGATTTCTCAATGAAAGCGAACTTTGACAGAGAAAATAAGATCTTTCACGCCAATAAATTGACAACTTGAGCTGTACCTATTATTCTTTAACTTGAATATTTACTTTTCTCAAAATATTAGATCTCTGAAAGCATAAATTTCAGTAAAAAGCGTAACGTAAAGAAACCACACGTGCGCATATATTACTACGGTTATGTGTCTATGTCAAGGTGACATAACCCATTTTCTTTTAAATGTGCATACGCGGCTACAATTCCTAGAATCAAGATATTATCACTGTAGCACTTTACAAATTAGGTATAGGTACTCTACGATCAAGCGTAATTCGTATCGGCTCATCGAGAACTGCACTATATAGGTTAAGGTACGCAGTTCAGTAAAACACCACAGTAATGTGCACACGTAGTTGAAAACTATGTGCGTCAAATACTGTGTTAGTAAATAATATTTGGGAATAGATGATTGTGACAGTGTACGTCGATTTTTTATCAAAGTAATGATTACTTTATCTAAATATAACGCTGAAATGAATAGTTTGTTATTATTTAACAAAATAGAAATTCCTTTCGAATTAGCCTTCACAGCTGCCATTACGGGTATAGTTCATGAGACTCAACGTTTTCATAAGTTTCCGAATATGAAAAATTAATAATTAATAAATTTTTAGAAGATTGCACACTGTAAAATTTTAGATTTTATTACTTTTATAAAATACCGCAGTATTTGGGGCGTATTTAATTCTTCGGCAGTTGCAACGAACGTGTACACGATTATATAATTATTTTATATAATTATTATAGACTTTCCCCAGCGATAAATATAAGAGTATTCGACAGTATTCGATATATAAAAGCTGAAATGTTTTTGTACCCGAAATTGTTTCGCGAACCAACCGTACGCTGCGGTTTATTCAATTCATGCGCCAACGGGTCCTAGTTTTCGCTATCAAAACGATATCGTCCATAAACACATACGATCGTGTTTTAATTAATGGAAATGCAAGCGTCTACACTGTGCACACTCCGCATAATTGTTTGACGCTTTCAAACCTTGTGTCTCTTGTGTATTCCCGATGAAAAACAATTTTTCGACGAGGCAGAAGCATCTTTTTATTCACCAGTGTCTCTCGAAGCGAATCTTCCACATGAAAAGGAATAACAATTGTCGCTCTGTTTAATTAGAAGAAATTAAACGAGAACGATCGTAGCGATTATTTTATGGACGATGCATTCTCCTGGCATTCGTTTAGGCTCCTTTTTATGTGCGGCGATTAATTTATATTTATTGGATCATTTGTTGTTGACTGGACTATATAAAGCATTTCATTCCATTCGTTTCCTTTTCTTCCGTTATTATACAGAGAACGGGAACGCTTTTTATAATATTACGATGTCCGATAAAAACCTTTTACAGAACAAAATTTTATCTCACTGGAATACCAAGTAACTGGAGCATCAAATGAACTTTAAACAACTTCATATATTGCCAGTAAACGCATGTTTATGGTTTTATGCGAAACAATTCTACCTTGATTGCGACAAAGAGCAGTGAATGACGAATTAAATCGCCCGTCATGTTTCAATTACTTTGTATTTCTCTCATTCACTTTTACCATAATCGTATCACATCGTACGTCTATTGATAATGTTCGCAAGGAGTCATGTTTGAAAAAAGCCTCGCATGAACTACGTCACACGAAATAAGTTCAAACATCCACTTTATATGAAATCGATGTTGAATTTCGCAATTAGAATGATCCCATAAAATTAACGAGCCCATCGATCGTGATTTTCCTGAAGAACAAAACGAAAACCGGTTCATTTACTGAAGATTGACGAACAGTCCAAATTATCGAGGGACATCTCGCTGGCCACATTCCCACGCGTTGTCATTCAGACTAATACCCAACCACACCGCATGCAAATTGTATGTCAAATATATTCAACGTGATTCTGTGATTCAACGATGCATTGGTTACTCCCAGGGCGCACAGATATCGCGTTGCTAAGGCACCCTGACGAACTCCGCCCCCCAACGAGGAAAAAATTTTCTGTGAAAAGCTCGTCCACCGGAATTTTTCGACGCATCGCTCAACTTTTCACGTGCTACGTTGATGTGATTTCATTCGGTATGGACGACTGGCGAAACGCGGACTTTTTTTACGAAAAATAACAGAGAGTTTATGAACGAGATACAAATGTTTATGATTTATAGTAAGTGTTAACTGCACTCGATAGGATGCAAATTTTAATTAATTTGCATAGGGACTTGATATTCTTGTTTACCTGGTAGGAACCTTGATTAAATAGTAGATTGCATGATAGGTAGCATGAGCTTCCTTTATGACGAAGTTTGCGATCCAAATGATCGAGATATGTAGTAAGCAACGTGTTAAGAGGCGCGTGTTTTCTTTGCGACAAAGTCCATGACCTATTTACTACAAGCAGATTTTAAATTTTTATGAAAATACTCTTGTTGAACTAATTCACAAAACTTGAATAGAAAAATGTATCTATATGTTTGCCATTGTTATAAATCCACAAAATCTGCAGTTTAAGAGATACATTTCGTGCGCCTAGAAATCATATTTCCTCTATTAAACTGCAGGCAATATGAAACACCAAATTTCACCTCCTGCAATGTTTGCCATAAGTGCATATAAAGATCCACCCTACGACTTACAGGAAAGCTCAACAGCTCTGTTAGAACATTCAAAGGATTACTTTAACCGGGACTCGCCTACACATTTTCCAATCGATCAATCATCCTTTATCACGCACGAATAATCTTCGCGTGACTCGTAAATCTCCGTGACAGCGAACGAGTCTCGATGATGACTACCTTATCTTCATTCTCTCTTTATTTCATAGAAAAATAGATCGATTCTGTTTTTCTGGGAATTTTTACGTCTTCGTACGATCCTTTTTCCGCGGTCCATGTGCAAGTGAAATAGACGCGATCGATGGCATATTCTCCATCGTTCCGAGAGACAATTTACATTCGCCAATTTTACCGGTCGCTCCTGTTCCCTCCTCGCAACAGTGCATCGTTCTGTCGCTTATCTTAATCGAGTTCGCTCATCAACAGAGGAAATCTGTACAGAAGTACACACCCCGATGGACTTACTGCACGTTTCATCCTGTACAGAACCATCCTATCTTCGAGAAGCTTTAAATCAATTATCCTTCTAAATCATATATATATATATATATATATATATATATATATATATATATATATATATATATATATATATATATATATATATATATATATATATATATATATATATATATATATATATATATATATATATATATATATATATATATATATATATATATATATATATATATATATATATATATATATATATATATATATATATATATATATATATATATATATATATATATATATATATATATATATATATATATATATATATATATATATATATATATATATATATATATATATATATATATATATATATATATATATATATATATATATATATATATATATATATATATATATATATATATATATATATATATATATATATATATATATATATATATATATATATATATATATATATATATATATATATATATATATATATATATATATATATATATATATATATATATATATATATATATATATATATATATATATATATATATATATATATATATATATATATATATATATATATATATATATATATATATATATATATATATATATATATATATATATATATATATATATATATATATATATATATATATATATATATATATATATATATATATATATATATATATATATATATATATATATATATATATATATATATATATATATATATATATATATATATATATATATATATATATATATATATATATATATATATATATATATATATATATATATATATATATATATATATATATATATATATATATATATATATATATATATATATATATATATATATATATATATATATATATATATATATATATATATATATATATATATATATATATATATATATATATATATATATATATATATATATATATATATATATATATATATATATATATATATATATATATATATATATATATATATATATATATATATATATATATATATATATATATATATATATATATATATATATATATATATATATATATATATATATATATATATATATATATATATATATATATATATATATATATATATATATATATATATATATATATATATATATATATATATATATATATATATATATATATATATATATATATATATATATATATATATATATATATATATATATATATATATATATATATATATATATATATATATATATATATATATATATATATATATATATATATATATATATATATATATATATATATATATATATATATATATATATATATATATATATATATATATATATATATATATATATATATATATATATATATATATATATATATATATATATATATATATATATATATATATATATATATATATATATATATAAGTCAAGTTTAAATGCCTCTGATCCACTGTGTCCACGTCTCTTTAAAGAATCCTATTCCAGCATTAACGAAAGACATTTTGTTGGTGAAAACATTGGCACCTAATCACCAGAAATTTAGCAGTGACATTAATGAATTAATTCTTGCCATTTTTTTCTCCAGACTTTCTCTTAGGCTCGTAACTTCTGCGAATTTGATTATTTTTGGCAGATAAAATGGATAATGATTCGTGAATACATACGTTATAAGATCCAATAATATTCGTGGAAAAATTTCTGTTTGTTCTTCTACAAAAAATTCTCAAAACATGTTTTTAGTTTAGAGGTACATGATTCTAGAGCGTTGACTTATCCCAAAAGCATTAACTTCAGATTCTTCTGATGAACACATGATTATTTGCAATTACTAATTAACATCTCGATTAACTCGATTAACTTACGCCTACGTTAACGTATAACGTTAAGAACCTGAAGCAATATCGGGAAACAAAAAAATGAAGCACTACGCATAAACTAAATGGTGCAAGGGGCAAGGGGTGTCGGTTGCCCGCCCCACCTAGCCTCTTCCAATTTGTTTTGATTCGAGAATTTTGTTTCTTATTGGCTAAGTTATGCGCTGAACAAGAGACGTGATTAGATGAAGAGGGCGACCGGTCCCCCTTGCTCCTCATGTCGATTAGCTTGTGGGTCTTCTCGTTTACCAATAGAAGTGGGTCATAGAAGAATGGGAACTACGGGCGTGCAGGTCAGGCGGAGCAAGTGAAATAACGTCTTTTCTTCCCTGTCGAAACGACTGACTTCTTCTAAGTAACCGAGAGTACATTAATGCCGTTTCTGTGTGTGAAGCTGAATTCAGATTAAATAATAATTATTATCTTGCTACCTTATGTCCTGTGTGAACGAAAAACATTTAACACTAAACCTACCAAGCATTAAAAGTAACTAATAACGTATGTTGTACTATAAGAATGACAAGACTAAATTTATTTGGATATTCCGCTATTTTTATTACAAAGTGTGCATGGATTGAGAAGTTTACTCAATCATTTTCTATAAGAGAATCTTTATAATGTTAACAGTCTCAATATAAAAAATGTGAAACCAGTCAAAATGACGAGCATGCTAGATTTAGTGTTAAATGGCCATTACAGAACCATTCTGATGTGAATATAATTTCCTGATTGTATTAATCTCGAAAGTGTAGATTTTTATACAAAATAAAAATTGTCTACATCAAGTACGAAAACGAAGATATTTCTTTCGTAATAATTTTAGCATCGGTTATTAAGTATTTTTGTTTGTTCATTTTTATCATGTGTCAGCTATTACACAATAGTAAAATGCTGCCACGTGCTTTACTGTTATCCCAATTAAGAAGGACACAGTGACAATCTTAAAACCTCAATTCCAACCTTGACAAATGCTCTTCAAGGCAATATAATGTTGTTCCGAGCAATTTTGTATGCACTCGTAACGAAGGCATATTCACTTTCCATCTCAGACAACTTGTCCTCGAGAGTCCTTGACACTTTCAGAGGCACATCCTGCGAGACCAAGCGAATCGACCACGTCCACGCGGAGAAAGTTAAATGAAAAAACTAGGTCCCCTTCACGCGCGGATGGCTACACCTAGAGGGATGACAGTGGATGATTCAAGGATTCGCGGTGGTCCTGAAGGGAGCAGGAAAAAAGTATCGAGGGTAAGGAGACGATCCCACGGAGTAGGTTGATCTTCATAAACTCTTTGAAAAGAGAGTTAGTCGCGCGTGTAAGCGAGTTTTATTCGTTTCCATGGAAATTCTCAAGATTCTTCTCTGCCGCTTCAAACTTCGTCTTCATTAAGGACCCTCGCGCCCTCGTTACTGGACGCCTTCTCCTGTTGAAGTTTCGTCAATAGCCTCTTCGCCGTCTGCGTTATCTGGAGATACACAGAAGCCTAGCATTAAGGAATTTGTACCTTCTTATCTCGACGACTCTAAAATTGATTTTCCTTCTATGTACTTTCTGATCCGAAGAATTAATTAAATAGTTTTATATATGAAGACTCTAGAGCGTATTCTCTTTATGTTCTATACACATTCTGATTTTAAACATTAAATAATTTTATATATTGCTAGAAATACTTAGCCACGGTTTCTAGCTTCTACCATTTTCTACCCCATATTCATGTACATAAAATTTCCTAGAAGACCTACTGATTTTCAGGTCTCTAGGGTACATCTATTTGTGCTTTACACGCTTTCTAATCCTAAGAATTCAACGACTAATACATCCGTAGAATGATTTAGCTACTACCTAGTAGATTTTACCTATTATTTCTTAACATACGCGCGTCTGCATAAAACTTGCTAGAAAAAAAAATATGATGACGTAATTACACTTTTGCCAAATATAAAATTAAAAAGAATCAAGGTTCTCGCAAGCTTTCCAGAGACTTACCTGCTGATCCACGTCTAAGACAGCAGTGATGTCGTTGAGGGCAGTCAAGAGTTCGGTAGCAATGCTCCTTTTTTCCACTGCGTCCAGGACAATCGCATAATTAATTAGTACAAGTGGATCCTGGGGCGAGAGCGCGTGCGCCTTCTGCAGGACCTTTTCAGCGCCTTCCAGATCGTCGAGTCGTTTCAATGCGACTGCAACAACCATGATAACGATTAAGCACGTAGTCGACGTAGGTGTGCTGTTCGAGTGCCGAAAGGAGGGGAGGCGCAGACGATACGATTAGAATTTCCTATGCGACAATGACATAGTGGACTATCCGCATCGGCGACCCCGCTATCCTCTTTCTTGCGAACAAGACGGAGACATATTGCGATGGCCGACGGAACTTGCGGCGCCGTAACGACAGAAAAACAGGACAAATTGCGGGCCGTCCATGGTCGGAGAAAAAACCGTGCGCCGATGGCTGTCGTTATAAATAACTTCGTGACTCTGAGCCTGATCTTTCTCTTCGTTTCGTATTATAGACGTCTGCCTGCTACATTGCTTTCGTTGGTATTTAAGAAATTCTTCGGGTGTAGCGGCTAGAAATTGAAGGTAAAATATCCTTAATGACTTGTTAACCGAACAGGAACTTGGTTTTTAGTAATGTTACCTAGGGTAATCACAGTAAAGCATGATCGATGAGTTCATAGTATATACATCTGACCTATGGTAGTTAAACTAGGCCACTTTCCAAAACATCGTGGAGTTGAGTGAACTTAGACAGATAAAATTTACCCTGGGACACCCGCTAGAATCGGAGTTTAAGTCGTATCTATCACTCATATTGCCGGTGCTTTCGCTTTTAATTAAATTAACTGCACTAGCCATCCATAATCATTTGGACACTTAAAACGTTCTTATTACTGAATACGAAGAGCGTGTATGTATTTATCAATGAAACGAGGAATCCTTACAATAGCACAGACTCCGTTGATCCGTGTAAAGAAATCAACTCAATCCGATAATTAGAATAACAATTCTTAAGTACAGACTATTTTCGGAACTCGGAAGAAGAAAACTACAAAATCAGGAAAATAATACGCTTGAACAACTGCTCATTTCACATATATACTACGTTATACTTGATTTTAAACGAGATCCTTGACCAAATTAACATAGATCAATGCCTATATCATCTACGCATCGCTTTCGTTTCTAGATAATGAATCATTTACAAGTGTGTAACCACATTTGTGAGGCCTGTTCCAATGAAATCACCGACGCGGTGCCTAACTGCTCAAATGTTTACTGACGGCAAATACCAAATCCCGAAGTCAATCAAAATACGTTGCACAACTCCGCTATGCAATGATGGCTGCAGCGGCCAGAAGTTGCACATGCAAAGGACACCGTGGGCTTCTATCGTATCGAATCTTCGGCTACCTCCTGCCCCTTTTCGGTCGACCGAAAATCAATCGAAGTACACGTTCGCCTTACGTCCTAGCAGAAGATACGGCATAGGGTTCTTGGGATCCGCGCTGACCGCCGCGCACAGATAAATAGCAGCTGAGGCTGGCTGTCCGGTGGTCAGCAATACCATGCCGAGATTATAGGCGGGCATGAAGGCCAACGGGTTCAGATAGTGGGCCCTCTTCAAGCATGTAATTGCCTGTAAGTAAATTAGAATGTTAAACCGATTTTGTCCGGTAATTGGCGCACGATACCAGTAATTAATGATCCTCGCGTGAATCGCGTGGGTCAGTCGTCGAGCACGTAAATGCACGCAATTATCTGATCTCCTCTGTTAATAAATCGGGATTGCGAGTCGTTTCGATTATGCAAAACGGGGCGAATCGATTATTATCAGACGACCGCGGGTCGGACGATAAAAACGGGCCTGTCAAAGGAGCCGAGCAGAACGCGTGACCTGGCAACCCTAGTTTTTCTTATCCCCGTGCCCCCACCCCCTCCACCCCCATAAGGTCCGTGAGTTCTTCTTATCAGCGACAAGGTAGCTAAAGCCGAGCTTCGAGCTTAATCCACTTAACTTCGGAATCTTAGCTCGCTAACGCGTAACCACGTTCTACGGAATGACAACGGACTGGATTAAGGAAGTTCAGGCACGCACCCCTGCATTCCCAAAGCGGATCCACGGTTCGCAAACGATCCCTTTACCGTTCACGGTGGTCCAGAAACTCGGCAAAGTTGACACAGTTGTGTTTTTCTATCGGGCAAAATGATTACACGGATCTATTTGAACTGTTAGATCAATATCTCATTACTGAACGAAACTATGCTCTGTGCGACAGCACTTAGAACACGTTCGTGACCATCTTTTGATACAAGTGTCTCGTTTCAAACAAGTTTAAACAAAAGTATACCGACTCACACATTTGCAAAATATGTGTGAAAGTAAGTTCTAAACAATTTATGATAAAATAGAACTTCCGTATTTTGCAATTCAGAATGATGCATTCCAGATGCATCATGCAAAATGAACTTTCGCCTTCAGAATACACGCCCTAGGATAATAAATGGAGAATCTATTGTCAACGTTCTCAGGTTTCCGATCCACCGAAAAACCTTATTACGATGCTGGAAATATTTAATCACGCTTCGCAATTTAATTCTATCCATCGTGCCGCCTCGACTCGATCGAACGGATGTTTTTCTCGGTAATTGGCGCAAGAAGGACCACTTTGTCGGAGACGCTGCTTCGACTCTTTGAGATAGTTGGAAAGAAGCAATCAGTTCGATGCAAATGCCTCGATCGGTCCGCTGGCATCCTCGTTCACGGATGCTTGTCAATCATGCTGACTGATCCGTGATTAAATGTTATCGACGCTATCGAGAAACACTGAACAGTACTCGAAGCTTCGCTGTCATAGATTCATTTCTTCCTGTCTCAATTATGACAACTTATATAACATCTGGACACGAGTGACTCGTGGCTTATAATTAATCGGTTATTTATGTAGCTACTTTTTCAAGCGACTCAAGAAACGTCGTCCTTCCTTGAGATTAATCGACTTATTGCAGGAAAACAGTTCTGAAGAATCTGAACAATCTCTTTCCTGTCGTAGAATCTCTTCAGATTTTCTGGTTCCACGACTCGATGATACCCTTGCTCGAGAAGACGTGCTTGCTCGAAAACGCTATGTTTTCTTCAATATTTGCACTTGATTAGCCGTTCTATGTATTTACAGCTAATTCTATTATTAACGAACCCAATGAACTCTTTTGAAATCGCTTTCTCTAATCGAAAGGATGTTGTAGCGAGTACTTAAAAGAAATTTCGATAGAATCGGTGCTGTTTAGCACAATGTAATCGTCTTCTTCGGGTGAACTACACTTCCAATTAGAGGAACCTCTGGCAAGTAATTTACGTCACCGATCCTCTCCTAGTTCGGCAGCATATTGCAGCCGATGCAGCAACTGCATGCTTCTATCTTGTCGCCTAATTGAGTTCCTCCAGAACGCAAGTGTGTCCCGGCCGTCATTCTGAGACGGGGCCGCGCGTGCATCGTCCTCTTCAATGGACTTTAAATTAATTAACGTCATTAAATTCAAAGCAGTGTCTTCTTGTCGTGTATAAAGAACAAGCTTATTCGACCACTACTATTATTCGGTCATTTTCAACAATTTTACTCATTCTTTATACAGATTACTTTAATTGAACTAAGATTATTCAACATAAGCGTCGTACATCAATAATCAAAAGACGATTTTAACAGATCCTCCTGGATGAGAATCACTGGCAATGCCTCATATAACTGTTTTATTTTTCCAGTGCAAAATGGACACTCTGTTGTAGTTTCTTCTAATGGCTTCTGCACGAAAAATGTCTGCTCCATCGCAGACAAAATCCATTCGGATTTTGAGATATTTCTAACATAATTTACAATTTCGAGGATAAGTTGTAGATTGTACATTTTATGCATATATGCAATTTTATTTTGCACAAAAATAATGATTAAATTCTTTTTGTATTTAAACAAATGGAATGACGATGGAAAATAAATTAAAAATTTGACTCTATCTATGTCTATCATTAAACAATTTGCGTTTGAGAAAATCCATGCTTTAGGGCTGTCAAAGGTAGCCAACCCGATGTTAAAAATGGGAGGATAAGGTGTGCCCAACGACTATGTAGTCAATCACGTCCATTATGGGATACTAACGGCGACGAACTTCTGTTTCCCATAGAAACACATTCCCACGTTGTTCCACAAGGCGTGCGATTCCGGGATCGATTGTGCCGCCAGCTTGTACTTAGAAAGCGCCACATCGTACTCCTGGTGATTCTAAAGTACAGAATGAATATTTTAGCAACATTATTTTAGCAATACTAACTCGCCGTGTTCAGAACGTGCTCATTACCAAAAAAGAAAATTGTGTTTGTAATGACGCGAAGAACAAATATTCAATGCACTGCTTTCGAAATTGATTTCACGTTGAAAGGCTCCAATTACAACAGTTACCTTTAATATTGTTCTATTAATCAGCCCTTTACACGCTGGAAATTAACCGCTTGATATACCATTTTCTTCACAGTTACTGCGGTTAGAAATTTTTCGATTGCAATAATTTCTTAGAGGAGAAAGGAAATTGATGCTTATTGTGTGCCTAAATTTACTTAAATGCTTAAATATTGATGACAGGAGATTAAAATTTTATTCCAATTTTAAACGACAGAATAACATCTATACTCGATAAGTTATTACCAGAAATGTGTATGGGTTTAATATTATAGGAAAAATGATATTATAAAATGATTTTTGAAACCTTTACGAAAGCGATACTTTTACGTATCTCATGTTCCACGTGTTGTTTATACATCGAAAAAATGGTTTCGGGTTCGAAAATTCGATGAAAAGCGATTGCACTGCAGCACATCGAACAATCCATTAAACCCATTAGACAGCAACCGCACAACCAATTTTCGGGTGGGAAACTATCGATAACATCAAATTTAGCTAATGCACTATTTCAATACACTTTGCAGAATACTTGTTACTCGTAGCATTGGCGTGTGCTTGCAACTGTTCCACCGCCGAAATCAATATTTTAAAACAGAATTTCTGCTGTTATTTTAAGACGTATGTAACGATGTTGTTTTTTAATGTAGGGGACGGAGTACTTCACTGAACAAGCTATTGGATCGAATCTATTAAATGGAACCACAATTAGTGTGTGCAATTATGGCATGCACAGATTTATAACATGTAAAGAAACATATAAATTGGCTAGGACCAATAGTATTCTATATTTTATTTTTATAATGAGGAACGTTTCTTTCTTTTTTTTTAGTTAAAAAAGAAAATTTTCCTCAAATTCTAATTGTTATAGAGCAACGTATCGAAAATGAGAATCTGCATGAAAATCCACTTTCTACTTGCTTGAAACCTAAAGAAATTATTTTACCAAGACCATACATTTTCATCGACTCTGGTTTTCCTTCAAACCATGTATATATGAATCCTTCGCCTTTTTTACTTTTTCATCATTTTGACTCTTATGTTGGCAACCAAATGTGCAAGTAATTTAAAGACTTTAGGAAGGTGTGCAAAAAATAGATATTCAAAATGGATCTATTTTTAAAAGAGAACAAGGACATTTTTTTAAGAAATTATAATAGACAGACAATCTGGTACTCGGTTGACAACATAAGGATTAACATATTTACAAAATCGGCGAACAGTTCGCAACGATTCCAGCTCAAAGGTAAGAACACGAATAAGACATGGTTGCGACTTCGATATTCGCTCTCGATCGGAAGTGTATGTATCGCATCGCTCGAAATTGAGGGTGGGATGAGTGAATGATCGTGTTACACGCGGAAACAATTTCTCTTTCCTTTGGAAATGTTTCGTGCTCGGCATACCGTACGATCCACACGCTCACCTGGATTACGTAGGCGACCGGCAGGATCGCTTTGGTGCAATTCGGGGAATGAGCGAGTGCGGTCCCGAATTGCTGGAACGCCCGTTGAACGTCTCCGGTTTTAAGGTAGAGCAGACCCAATTCGCTCGCGGCCTCGATGCACTCGGGATTCTCGCTGAAATCTCAGGAAAATCGGTCGGGAAATTTGTGACACGCGATGCCCGAGCAGTTTCCCTCCTTAATTCGATTACCGGTATTAGCTGATTCAAATTTTTCGCACAGTTTTCATGCCACGGAACAATTCCGTGCAATCGGAATCGAAGTTTCTCGTTTTTTAAACCGTTAAAGTGAATTGAACAATTTCGAATTCTTGGAAAAATACTTGTCGATTTATTTTGTTGGTGAATATCAAATTGTTGCTCCGCGTGTAGGATAATGAAAATGTATTTAATTTACCATTTCACTTTATCGAAACAATTTCCATTATATGTATAATAGACGCCTGCGCTGTAAATAACGAGATTTATTAAAGAAAATTAATTCTTTAATTAATCCTTCATGCTCTCTATGCTACATTTTATTACAATTTCATATCCACCAACACAACAATTATATTACCACTGTATGTTCAACACAACAAATCTCCTAAAAATTTAGATTCATTATAATACAGAACAGAGCGTTCATAGTGTTCCTTAACTTCCCTTTCCACGAAAACTAATGGTGATAGCTAAAGACGAAGTTCATGAAGTTTCCTTAAAAATATTCTATCAGAACGAACAAATATTTCTGCTTCTCGTTGTCTCCTTTGAAGGGGAACTAGAATTTTGAATTGTCAGAAGGTAGTCAAGCTCGAGCGACATTTAAATTTCCATTCATTGGCATCTGAGGTTGCCAATCAACAAATGCCATCTGAGGTTGCCAATCATCAAAGAAGCCGGGAAACCGCGATGGTAATCACCGCTGAGACAAATTATCTGCCGAACGTCATTTCTGTTCGCTCAACAAGTTCTTTTAACCCGCGGCCCGGCGACGAGAAATGAGAAGCAGAAACATAATACGGTGGAACTCGGGTCGTAATGTCGTAAACAAGATCATCCGAGCCGACGCGGTGGCTGCAGGAAATTAAATCCGCGCGTACAAGATTCCTGCGCGAGGTCAAGCGTGCGTTAATCGCAGAATACATTAAAACGAAAACGAACTACAATCTCTCGTCTCTTCTCCTGGTCAGCTACTACCTAAGAGCCGCAGCGTAAGCGTTCCGGGCCTCGGTAACATGATCCTCCAGAAGGTAGACCCGGGCTAAAGCAATATACGGTGACTCGTCCTTAGTTAGCTCCATCGATTTCTTCAAATGCCTTTTTGCTTCGTGCAACTCATTCAGCTTGACATAACACTCCCCTGAAGAAAAGAGAATAGGATGAAACATGCTACACGACTGTCAAGTCCGCTTCAAAGACCTACGATCTACAGAATGGTCCATCGATGATGCCACCGTCGAGAATGTTTTCCCGTTGCTAAACGAATGCTATTATATTTTTATGCAGCTTTTCGAACACAGAGCTTCGGGAACAATCTAAAGAGGACCGTATTGATTTTAGCCTAAAGATGAGTTCTTAAAACTTTCATCGCTTAACAATTTTGCTACCAACTGTAAATCAATAGAATTTTCAACAACTGTATTATCTTTTCAATAGATATATCTATTTTCAAAAGATTTTCAAAATCTATTGAATAACAGTAAGTAAGCAAATATAAACTAAAGAAGCTTGAAATATTTTTCATTTTCCGCTTAATGCCCTGCATTTCCCATGAGTTTCTGTATCATTTTCAAGTGGCCTAAATTACCGTACAGTCAATTAAATATAAATATGCGGTCAGAATGATGATAATATTAATTAATTCATGCAGAACCTAATTGTAGATGGATAAAACTTGGATAAAACGAACTCTGCTCATTTATATGATGTGCGTATAAATTTCATATCAATATGCACGGTTTAATTTCATGCATGAAAATACGTGCATCTTGATGAACCATCCTGTACGTTTTGCTCTGGTTAACAGCCTTGCCTAGGTTCAGATAAATTTCCCAGTCTGGTATATTGGATATCCTCTCAGCTTCTAGATACGCGTCGATTGCTCGTTTATGGCTGCCCATTATCAAACTGTAGATAACAATGTATTATTAGAAGCATGTCGTGTCAAAGAGATTAACACTAGTATAGAGAACATTATTTTTTAACTATACAATATTCGTTTTAATATAAAAAACTGTCTCCAGAAATTACGATAAAGTTTGATACTCAAGGGTAAATTAAGATCACAATATATGTAGTTATACGGTAAGTTCTCCCTAAATGACGCGTAGATTGCGCACAAAAATTAATAATTTGAGAAGTGGAAATACGATTATTCGAGCCTCCCAGCTCGTTTTTATAATTATTGATAATCGGTAACTGAAAAAACGAGCCGCAAAGCTCGAATAATCGTATCTCTTTTTTCCCAAATTGTCCATTTTTGCGCGCAATCTGAGCGCGAATTAGAAAGAAATATTACTGTACTTAGCTAATAAACTTCTGTATAACCAAAATTTATGTAATTTATGGAAATAAGTTGAAAATTACGAATAAGTGAACGTGTTGAAAAAGGAACGCGTATCGTCAGAATTGTAAATTTTGTAAATTAAATTAAAGCTTTATGAATACAGAATCAATCAGAAAAAGAAGATTGATATATAATTCCTCAGACATTTAACTAACTGAAGAAACAACAGTTTTACGATTTAAGTAAAATTTTAAAAATCGATTTTTGACCGCGCTTTCTGGTCAAACACTGTGCAGCATGTAAATAACAATCCAATTAGATTAAGTACCGCTCGGCAATGCCTGAATCCAATTTAATCTCCATCACGTTGCTGAAATGTCATTCTCCTTACTTACAGTGACTTGGCAATCTGCTTGACAGTATTAACGTTCGTTGAATTGACGGTGTACGCTGCCTGAAAACAGTTCAACGAGTCCTGAACTTTTCCTTCCCTCCTGAGGATCAACCCCTGCACAAAAACCAGAAAGAACGCGTAGTTTGAATATTTTAGATTTTCATCTAGCGTGAACATTTTTCATACTTTCAAATAATTCGCATATTCATTGTGTCCGTTTGAATTTAGTAGCTCCTGGTCGATCAAGATCTTGCAGGTTTTATACTCGTGCCGCGTATAATGGCGATGCAGCAACCAATTGTTGCATTCTATGGCTGGCACTTCCGGTGCTGATCCAACAAATCAGAATAATTATTATTTGCCTACGTTGTAGTTAATCAATAATTAACTTGTCTGGTATCTTTGTATTTATAAAAGTTAATAGTATAATAATAATAATAAATTTTGGCGTAGTTTACGATAGTTTTCACGATTTCTATTTCAAAACCGGAAGTGGTGGAATCCGCGATTATCGATCAGATGTTTCGATACGATATCAACGGGTACTATACGAATTCTCAAAAATGATTTCATCGTCGTCTCATAAACAAATTCTTATCTTTTATCAGCCTTAAATTTAAACCCATTTTTAATCCAGCATTGTCAATCAAACTTTTAAGCATATATATGCGCTCGATCGTTTCGCATATTACGCGAGAACCAAAAGAAAAACACCTTTCTTCCCTTTGTCGTTTCTGAGCCGTTGCGAAACTGTCATTTGTTGTTGAATCCGACCATTGCTAAGGATATTGTTTGCCATTGTTAGAACACTAAAACAACGTCACGTAACCCTCACGAACTGCATTGTTGCAGTAGTAGCATGACATTAGTGGGTATGTGTTGCTGTTCTTTGCCATGACAACCATTGCGTTAAGCCCCTTTCACAACCCGACCATCTAATTAATTTTCTCGATTCAAAATTATGACGAGATAAATATTTAGGCATCTAGTACGATACTTATCTGGGCTAACTCAACCTACAGCATGTACATTAACTCAAGGTCTAACTTTCTGCACATCTTTTGGTGCCCGCTTATTTTCCTAATCTATTTAGGTCCTTACATATTTCCTAAATCTTTCATAGAGAAGTTAATAAATACATGGAGTAATCTTGCGTCTAAAAATAAATAGTAAAGCCTAATAAATCTACTTACTGTTCCGTCAAAAGAAAACCATACAATAACCTGTAATGTCTTCATAATAATTATTCTGACATGTCTGAATAAAAAGTATATCGCGTCAAAGCTACGCTCTACAGACGCCAATCCTGTTAAAAAGGCTACTTATGTGACGATTAAGAGGAAAATGATTTATTACAAAAACCCGGTTACATACTGGATTTAAAAGTCGACCAGACAAAAAGATGCACCGTGCGAGACTCGTAGCGCCATCGGGGTGATAACAAAAACTACGAAACGTCTATAGCGCATCAACTTGGTTACTGGTGTAGTTTCGCCGATACGATAACGAGGGAAACATTAAAGGATTGCAACATTTCGATTGCAGAAGGGATTTTATCGTGGAAACTGAGTTCAATCATTTCGGGGGTGTTGAAACTGTATCTCGTCGAGTGAACAGTGCCGATTGAGCAGTTGATCGATGGGCATACAATGCTCGTGGTCCCGTGATAGCAAGATGTAGGCAAACTGCATAGATTAGTTGCCAGTGCTGCGAAAGTGAGGGTTGTCTGTTATTGTGAGTCGATTCTCTGTTGAACTTTCGTAGAACGTCACGTCCTTATATCATTGTTCACCCCCGTTACAGTTTTTATAGGTTATCTTTACGATCCCACATTTGCCGCTTATCCACCTGTTATCAATCACGAAACCAACAAACGCTTTTTTACAGACACATATGTCCTCGTAATTTCGATGTCACGTTATATCGAAACACCATTGGACAGAAACTTGTAGCTGAAAAGAGAACATTAAAGTAGTGGAAACCTTGAACATTGTTTTTTTGTCCCCTGTTTTTAATCCATTGTTTCCTGTCTCCATGCTTTCTGTTGCCTTCCTCCAACACACGCACAAATGATTTATGTGCTTTTTCTATTGTGAGTTCCCGTTGTTGAATCATTATTGTAGAAATTGTTACAATGTATTTGAATCGTTCTTTCATTAATGTAGATAGTTTGTGTCTTCCACTTTCTATTGATTGTCATGCCTGACAAACAGACATCAATAGAAATTTGATTTGTTTTACGTTTTTAATGTTATTGTAAATTTAGGGTTTAAATCCCATAAATGTATGCACTCAGTAAGTATGCTATATAACTTAACAAATCCTGTTGACATTTCAGCAATCAATTTTATTACGATGTCATAATCAAAGAAGAAGGGTTCTGGATGCATCATGAGCTGCTCCGTAGAACTACGACAGCGAAGACAGCAGGGGATGGTGGAGGATCCTCATAAACTAGCAGCAATGATGAATAAATCTCAAAGACTTGTACTAGGACTTTTAGTTTTACTTCTGGTAGATATAATTTGGGTCTCCAGTTCTGAATTAACTAAAGTAAGCACTAACTTTAATAATATATACTAACTTTAATAATATATTATAATATATTAATAATATATAGTCTACATTTCAGTACATTTATAGAGAAGCTGCATTTGAAAAGCCATTTTTTAGTACATATGTAAAAACATCTATGTTCACACTTTATTTGCTGGGTTTATGTTTTTGGCCACCATGGCGGGATCAGTGTAACAAACCTGCCACATATATGGTAAACTCACATGCAAATAAGCCTCTTTTAGAAAATTGTATTTACATTTGTTTTCTTATCTTCTTTTTTAGTTTATAGATCCTAATGTTGAAGATGATAACTTTTATTCAGAAGCCAATACAAGTCTGGTAAGCATTCCTTTGTTCGCTATTATATTATTAATATTAACAGAAGCTTGTAACATTGCAGAGTGATCCAACATTTGTTCCGATAAAAACGCCAGATCATTGTGATCGTTCCTCAGGCACAGAAAGTGATGATTCATCAATACGTTCTGTCCGATTTAGTAAGTTAGCAGAAGTCAGGCATATGTCAGAAACTGACGCCACGGAAGCGTTATTGGCAAGACTTAGTTACCAAGCTAGCTTAAGAGCTGGGGAGCATGTGAGGCGACAAGCCAATAAATTTTCTGTGCAAAAAGTTGCTAAGATTGCACTTATGTTTTGTTTACTTGTATGTAGCAATTTAGCAACTTATAGCAATTGTGTAAGTATTGAGCTAACACTTGTTTATTATATTGCAGTGGTTTATGGCGAATTATACTTATCAGATCTCGTTAGCAAAAACCGAAGCAGGAGTTGTAACAGTATTGTCATCAACTTCTAGCTTATTCACATTATTCCTTGCTGCTTTTTTCCCGAGCAACGGAGGAGATAAATTTACACTGTCTAAGCTAGTTGCTGTATCCATCAGCATTTTTGGGCTAGTATGTATATTCTTGTGTTTAATGTAAGCTTCATGATTGAGATAGTACAAATAATTTATCTTTGTTTTTTAATGTTTAAGGTATTAGTGGGTCTTTCAGATTTAACTATAGAAACTAATAGGATACCCACTGGTATAATATTAGCGCTAGTCAGTGCATTTTTCTATGCTGCTTACATTGTATTTTTAAAGAGAAAAGTAGATCATGAGGATAAGATGGATATACCAATGTTTTTTGGTTTTGTTGGTCTTTTTAACTTGACGCTTTTATGGCCTTTATTCTTTATCCTCCATTATGGTCATTGGGAGGCATTTGAATGGCCAGATACCCATCAGTGGACATTTTTAATCATCAATGGTCTTATTGGTACCGTTTTAAGCGAAGTACTTTGGCTATGGTAAGATCATGAAAGAATTTAAAACTGTATATTAATATACGATGCTGACTGTGCTGTTGTTTTATACTTCCAGGGGTTGTTTTTTAACATCGTCCCTTATAGCAACATTGGCAGTTAGTTTAATTATGCCGATGTCGATGATAGCCGATGTACTGTTAAAGAAAGTCGAATATCCATACATTTTCTATTTAGGAACAGTTCCGATGCTTCTAGCATTTCTAACTGTGTCTCTTCTGTCCTATTATGATAATTGGGATCCAGTTATGGATTTAATTAAAAGAATTTACGTTTGGATTTGTAGAAAAAACAGATCAACAAGGTATTACCGATAAGAAACTGTAATTGAAGTTTAATACTTAAATAGTTATGTTATGGTCATATTAAACTGTTGCATTGATTTTGACATTAAAAATTTCAGAATGCCAGATCTTGAAGCAGAACAAACCGAATCGCTGATAGGAATAAATAGCGGTGAACATGAAGCTTAACTCGACAATAACTATGAGGAAACTGTGTAATAAATGTCCTTTATGTATGTATATTTCTACACCTAACTACAAATGCTTCATCGACGAGCATAATCTTCATTAATGTACTGTGTATACGTCTTCTTGATATGAATATCTGTTTTGATAAAAGGATTCTGCATATTTTTTAAGTTAAATGATTTATGCATATTTAATTATGAAGCATTATCTCGAAGATAGTGCCAAGCAATGTCGTTACATAGTCATAATCTTCTGTAATGCATATGTTATTCTACTGATTTGCCATAAAAGAAAATTTAAATTTCGTTTTTATGCAGAATGCTACAAAACTGCCAGACAATAATTGCGCTTACTCGATATACACATTATTAGAGACAACAGAAATTAATCATTAAGCTTTTTGTTCGTGTATATCGAATTAACATCATCAGCACGTTATATTTTGAAAAAAACAGTAAATTGAGTTTGAATGCTTTTTTCTGCAACACAGAATTTTAGCTATTATGAGTTATAGTTAGCTTTCGTATTCATTGTATATTTTTCAATAGCATATTAAGCAAATAATATTAATTGTGATGTTTCAACTAACATGATGTACACATTGGTTGAAGGTATTAAGTTTCTCTGAGTAACATTATACACTTCTCAAATCACCATGCATTGCAGAACAGTTACATTCTATATGCTAAGCTGTATCGTATTTACAGAAGCTTATAGAAATACCAGTGCTATATACACTTTTTGGTTTCTCAATATCCTTAGACAAATTACTTAATATATTCGTAATCGGAGGAAAGTCTGAGAAACAGAAAAATACTTATTTTATATCGTGTAATTACGTTAGAATTGTTATCATTATCATTTAAGCATTGTTTTGATAAAGTATTAGTTTTTAAAGATCGCTCAGAAAAACTGTACGAATCATAATAGAGCTTAACTTATATTTTTTGTTATATAATTTCGAGAAAGATATCCTAATCTTTATTGTTATTTAAAAGTAGCTGTTAATTGTTACGTACTTATTTGTGGTACACGATGTACGAAGTATGCCCTCAATTCTAGGACAATGTCTGAGATATTTGTGCAATTTTTAATGATATAAGACAGGAGTAATAAAAAATATATTTAGATTTTGGACCAATTTAAAATTCAATAATACTGTCGAACATGCTGGCAAAAGAAAAAAAGAATTTGAACAGTAATTGATAAATTTTATGGCATACAATTTTT